TATTTATTTAATGGATTTTTGCTGATCACATTATTTGGTTTGGAGGAGAAGGAGGTATCTTGCCTTTTTGTTGCCATGAATGCTTTCCTGCCATGATGGTGTTCTGAAAGTCTTTGAAAGTAGAAGAGTTGATTTGGAAAGTCTTTCCCTGTGAGGACAGCCCAGCACTGGAGCTGGAGCTCAGGGAGGTTGGGCCATCTCCATCCTTGAGGGGTTTCATGCGCTGACTTTGTAAAGCCCTGAACAGCTGAGTTTGATCCCACAACTCACCCTTCCCTGGGCAGGGGCTGGGACTGGAGACTTCCCGAGGTCCCCACCAGATAGGGGTGTCCTGTGATCCTGTGATTTTCAGGGGTACAACATTTGTCTCAAGTTTGTGATGTCCTGAAGGATGACAGTCTGGGAGGTACTTGTGATTCTTGTTCATGGTAGTGACTCTGTCAGTTGTCAAGTCAGATGCCACATAGGTATGTGAAAGCTTGAACATCATTAAAGTGTTACTTATATGGTGCCACATCTCTCTGGTCTTTTATCCTCCCCGATACCCAAATCATGGACTATCAAAGAACAACAGTGTATTTATGTGCTGGTGAATGATTAAATTAGTGTCTGTCAACTGAGATTAACTGAGTGCAAAGGCTGTCTCCTAGCCTGTGGCAAATGAAAAATGAAATGTGTTCATTGAAACCACTGAGGAAGTTTATTTGATTAGTATGACACCTGTGGAGAATCTGCTTATTTCTAAGACATGGCTCAAGAAAGTATTTTTTATTTTTACAGATTCTGCCTCTATTTGTTTTCAAGGCCTTCAATGCTATGCTAAGGCAGAGATCCTTAAAAGCAAAATTCCTTGTACAGTATGGGGCATAAGGGAGGTATAGCATAACTTACTTTTCAATGACAGTATCCTCTCTATTCAGCTGAAAAATGAAATATTAGACTACTGAGGTAAGCAATACTAAAAATCCCTCAGGAAGCTGGTGAACAGCAGTGTGACTTTCTTGGCTTTGCTGGGGTGTGCATCCTTCCTGTCGCTGTTTGTTGAAGACAAGGTGGTGCAAAGGAAGAAGAGCATCTTGTCTTTCACTGAATGGCAAACCATTAGCTTTTTTTTTCCCCCTCTGCCTTGTGAAGCCAAGAGTGATGTGTCATGGCAGCACCTTTCTCCTAGTGTACAGCAGGGGAAATGGGTGGGTTTTTTTCATCAGCAGCAGGCCTCAACAGTCAGTTTTACTTAACCCCTGGCTGGAGTGAGAGTTGCCTGCACTCACAGATACTTGTTGGGATTGACTCCTAGAAATGAAGACATGGGAAACAATTCAGTATAAAATATACCAGCTTCTTGACTCATCCTTTCATACCATCTTCTAAAAGAAAGAGTAATTTGAGATAAAGAGTTTGAATATCCTGGTGAATCATGTTAAATTATACATAAAGTGTATCAGGGTTACATGAATATCTACCAGCTAAGATTAAAGGCTGGCATGAGCCATTCTTGTATAAACTCTTCATCCATGGGGCACTAATTTATCAAGGCATCAGCTGCTGACTGTTGGAGCAGTCAGCACCAAGAAAAGCAGAGCAGTAGATATGCTCACCATAGTTGTGAGATGCATATGAAAGCCATTCTGTGGAAATGGTATGTGTAGGTGAGCTTTTGCTGCATAGCAAATAAGGATAAGTACTTCTGAGATCTGTGTGGAAGACTTTTTTCAAGAAAAGCACATTGACAGTAAAATTTGAGAAGAAGGTTTTTAAAACAAACAGACAAACAACAACAACAACAACAACAAAAAACCCAAAGAAAAAGAATAAACTAAGGGAACTTACATTTGGGAGCTACCTAAATGACAATGTTGAAAATATCAGTTTCATCATATTTCCATGATGGGGTTTTATTTGCTACTAGTTGTATAACTTTACTTGCAATTTCTAGCTTAGGAAGTATTTTTTTTAAATGTGCACAGAATTATTTGGTGGGAAATTTGAATGCAAAGCCAGCTAGACAGACAATGAGTCTGGTTTATGTCTTTCTCCATCACCCTAGAAGAAAAGCCTGCAACTTTTAAACCCAGGGCTCATGTTGTTAATTAATGATCTTGTGCAGATGAGGACAAAGAAAGATTTAAAGTGTCTTAACATGTCTTTTGCTTCCTTAGTTTCTGTGGCTTTCCAAAAATGGCTCTTACTCCCTCTTTTAGAAGAGCATTTCTCCAGTGTCTCTTTTCATTCAATGTTCTAGTTATAAATCAAGTTATTCCTATAGTGATTGTGGTTCTCTTGTACTTTGCCAGGCTATTTGCATCCAATCAAATCAGGAGAGTGATTTATAATTATTGACACTGGTAAGACAATTGGATTGTCACAGGCCATCTCAGGTCTGTGTCTTTCATCCTGAGTATGAGATGCTTCTGTGTGCTTTAAGTGCAGAACTACATACATTGATGCTCTCATACAGAATACAGTTCTTTGCTTTCTCAACTGCTGTAAGTGAAGGGTTAGATAAGTTGCTTCTCACATTCAGCTTACAATAATTCTTTGCTTTCTCAAGATCATTGAGACCCTGCTGGCGAATATATTAGTAGCATCTACTGCTCAAAACACTGTGTGAGAATCGATCTGTAAAAATTGTGATTGATAAGTAGTTAACATAAAACAAAGCTAAGTCTGACTCGCAAATTATAATAACTGGCCAACTACTTATCCCTGTAACTGGAAAATTCTTTGCTGAGTTTATCTTATTATAATATGAAAAATAATTGTTTAAACTACCATCAGTCTTTAAATCCTGGATCCATAACGTGGCCATGTTGACAAGGAGAATGTAGGAGTAAAGGCAAATTGCTGTGCAAGAGCTAAAAAATATTCTTCACTTTATGCATATTTTTAGTGAATTTTAACAGGAGAAAACTACAAAGACTATTTTCTGGTAGGCCTTGTTAATCCAATTTCAGATCTCTGTGTTCCCCAAGCTACGCTGTCCAAGCTTTATTGGGTGCATCTGCTACCAAAATGACACTTCATTTAGCCACACATCTGCAGTAGTTTTACACTTGGACCATTGCTGTGTAAAATTAATCCTCTCTGATAATCTTAATTTAAATAATAATATGTATGGTTTTCAGAAGCAGAGAATGCCTATTAGAAAAGTATTAAAGTTCACCCCCTGCAGGGTGAACCTTCCCATTGCAACACAGGAAAATGGATGTTTGTCCATATAAAGGTCCATATGCAGAGAAGCATCATATTTTTAGCAGTACTTGTCGATTGAGTTTTCAAGTTAACTTGATTTGATTGTTTAAAGGGATGTGCTGTATCTTATCATGAAAAGAAACAGGCATACTGAATGGCTACATATTGTGCTGTACAGTGGGACTCCTTTTAAGAGTACCCAAGTGCCCAAACCATGGGATGTACAAAATCTGACCGGGAGACCCGCCCTTCCTTCTTCCTACCCAGGGTTGAAGAAGACAGAGGAAATGTCATGTGAAATTCACAATCAAATGTGAATTTTATTGTGTGCAAGAGTCATTTCATTCCGTATTGGAAAATTCAGTTGTGTTTTTAATACTATCAAAACTGGGTTTCACATGTGCCTTCATCTTTCAGTACTCTGGTAGATCCCCAGACGCTTGTCTTCTGTGACAACCATTATTCAGATGTATTCAGTAGAACTTGAACTGTGAAATGGGTTTCCATCTCAGATAATATCTTCTGCAGAATCAAGCTTCTGTTAACTTAAAACTGCTTGAGAGTGTGTGTCAAGCCATGTTTGCTAAGCTACGTAACAGATGGTAACAGATTTCAGTGAATGTCTTGTAGTGGGTGGAGGGAATCTCTCATTCTAGGTTGAGCGTTACATTGGCTTTAAGAAGTGATGGGGATTGAAGGACAAGTATTTGTTGATAGGTACCTTTCTCCTTTTCTAGCTTTTTTTCTTTAATTTGAACAATGTAAGCAGCAACACATTCAAGAACTCTGACTTCCCTCTGGGTCCATTTGGCAGCAGCAATTTCTGTAGTGCTATGATGCAATCGTTTGGGGTCTTATGCTACTAACAAGCACTGTTACATTTTAAAAAATGGATATTTTTTATTCAGACTAAAACTGCTGCATTTTAAATGCCTATATACAGAACAAGTGGTTGTGCTCCATTTGATTTCTTATTCTCTTTGCATACAAGAGTGTCTGTCATGTCTTTGTTAATAACAATCTCTTGCAGTGGAGCAGGGTTTTGTTATATTATTGGTGTGGGAGTACGGCAAAAAGTAGATAGTTTTAAAAGCAACTGCTTTTATGAATAAGGGTATAATTTATTATTTAGTGTTAACATCAAATTACATTATCCTCTTGATTCATTAAGTGCATGTGTCATGAAAAGAACACTCTGAAGTTTACAGGGTTTGGGTTTTCTTAGTTTTTATGTTACATAATCTTCATTTCACAACAGCAATTCTCACAGATTAAGAACACAAAGCCTATATTGTATTAAAATGGACAGTCGTATCTTCAGTGCAGTCCTGAGTCTGTGGAAGCAGCATAGGCCTTCGTGCTTTAAGGAAAGGGTAAAGAAGCAGGACTCATCACTGCAAACGCCATTAGTTTCATCCAGTACATCTTTCTGGTCATTGCCTGAGAAGAAACTACCTCTACTTTGCTGATTATGCAATATTATATTTGGGGGATGGAGGAAAAGGGAATGAAAAGGTACCCTTGTAGATGTGTTTACAACTTCAGTATTTACCTGAATGACTCTTTTGTCCTTATTCGGTGATCTATGAGTTCCTCTTATTAGGATCATTGCATCTTTCACAATGTTTCTGCTTCTGCATAAAATGGGTTACATATAGTGTGTTTGTTCAATAATGCCTTCATTTAGAAAGTCAGGGAAATGACCTTTAAAGAACAAAGTTAAGTATTTAATACTGGAAGAGGGTATTAAAAGGTTGTGAGATACTTTCAAAACAAATTAGTAAAACATTTCTTTCATTTCTTTATAGATTCTGGACAACCAGGAAGTCCAAGCCACAATGATCCTGCCAAGAATCCACCAGGTAAATATAAGTTCCAGAACATGTGCATCTAACATTGTTTGAGAACAAAGATACTACTGTTAATAGTTAAAGAGAGCATAATTGGTCAGCAACCTATTTTGCACTAGTAAGTACATATAATCATGAAAAGCTGTGATTATTTTAGTTCTTTTAAACTGGCAAAGCCTAAATTGTAGTTTCATCAACATTCATTTAACCTAAGGAATTTTTCTTTCAGTTCATGGTTTTTAGAATTTCATAAGTGGGGATGGGCAGAGGAGTAAGGAGACATCCTCCCAAATTACTTTTGTAAAAGTCTTCAAATGCTACAATTATTCTTCTATCTCAGACAAAACACAGTTGACCTCCCTCTAAAGTCTGTGGCCTGAGCTACCAGCTTCTTTACTTTTATTTTATATTTGCATTATAAAATGCAAATATGATTATTTTTTATATTATTCATATCAGCTCAGAGCAGTTTTTGAACATATTGTTAATGGATCACTTTTGTAAAAGTCTTCAAATGCTACAATTATTCTTCTATCTCAGACAAAACACAGTTGACCTCCCTCTAAAGTCTGTGGCCTGAGCTACCAGCTTCTTTACTTTTATTTTATATTTGCATTATAAAATGCAAATATGATTATTTTTTATATTATTCATATCAGCTCAGAGCAGTTTTTGAACATATTGTTAATGGATCATGACAGTGACATTTGGAATTTTTTTGAGAGAGATGTCAGTGTAAACAGTCCTTTCAAGGATTCTCTAAAAATAAAAATTCAAGAGAAAATCAAACCCAGACTTTGCCATTCCACACTGTTTTGACCAAAGGCTCTTTGTATTGTCATGGAGTTATCCTTCTAATCAATTGGGCTCTGCTAGTAAATCTTGTAAGTCTTTGTTGCTTTATGAATTTTATTGGGGTAAGACAAACAAGTATGACAGACATACTATCACTTCTTAATGATCAAGGAGTGACTCCTGTCACCACCATTGTGCTATATCTTCTCATTTCAGCTCTCAGAAGAAATGTCTATGTGAAATAAGCTGCAACTAACTCAGTTTGCTCTTTTTCTAAATGAAAAATGAACCACACTCTAACCAAGAAGTAATTGTGCGATGCTAGGCTGTTACATATACATGAATATTTTCTGGATCTGTCCAAACATTAGGGAAAACAGCCTGCGTTGTGGCTGTACAGTTTTGTACTATGCATATGATCAAAGTATTCTCTACATGTGGTGGAATATGTCATGTGTGTTGCATGTGAATACCCAAAAGTGGGAGAACCATAATAGATCATTATACAAAACGCCATATTCCTGTAATATAAAAACTGGAAACACATACTGGAAGACTGCAGATATGTTTTAGAGATATGAGGGCAGAGCAAGTCAAAGAACATGGTAAGCTCTTTTTTGAGTGATTTTTTAATGCGATTTTTTTTTTTTTGCAAGGGATGATGCAGGTTTGAAATCACTTTTGGCTGGAGACTTTGATGCTGTTTCTCTCCAAACTGTGTGGGATGTTATGAGTAGGCTTTTATTTCTCTATTAAATTAATGACATAAATTATGTAGGATAGTGGTTTTAAAACCCCAAACAGCAGATTTACACCTAAAACAAGCCTGAAAAATTTCCCTACGGATAATAACAGTTTTGTAAAACTTGCAGTATTTAGCTGTAGAGCATTTATTTTTGTTTTAGAGTATCTCTGTTTGTGACTGCAAGAAAAGCCAAATGCTTTACCCCTCATCATTTTGAAGGACCCTTTGTAGCCTCAGGGTTTGGGAAGCTGGAGGCAGGGTCTGGAAACTCATCTTCAAAAATTCTGGTTTTAAAGTATCATTTAGCATTTGGAGTAGGAAGGTGGAAGTATGTATTTCACTAGTGAAGATTACATCCTCTAGTTGAATCCAATCTCACCAAGCCTCAGTCTCAACCCCAGGCTACTCCAGCAAGGAGTAATCTTGCTGCCAGCAACAGAGCTCTGGGGAGAGCAGCAGACAAGCTATATAGGCTTTCTTTTGGCAGCCTTGTGGGGCAAGATCAGATGCCCCAATGTTTGACAAAATCCAGTGTCCCAGAAGGTAGAGGGAGATAGAGGGAAGAGAAATCTGTTGCTGGTGTCATCATGAAACTTTCTGATTGAAATTTGAGCATAACACTTTATCATGGTTTGGAGCCACTGCTGGCAGTGTTATTCCTTTATCTGCTGCCAAGTGGCGACAGAAAATGGAAGCTATGCCTTGCTTCCCTTGAAACCCTTCATTTAAGCAGAGACAGAGGCATAATAGAATGTCATCTGTCTATTTGAGGATACATGAACTTCTAGCATCATTCAGCTTTCCTGTGTGATACTGTCTTTGGGTTAAACTGGCAGGGAGAAAGCATTGAGGTTTGTGGGACTGCAGAATACAGGACTTCTGGGGCTGTGCAGGAGAATGAGAGGGAGTTGTACTCCATTCAGCTTGTCTGGAAAAAGGACTGCTGTCCAGTTCTTTCTTATTAAACTTCACGAGTCTTATTATTAGAAGCAGGCAGTCACTTCTGTCAGAGCCCCAGAGGATATCCACTCTGAGGTTTGTTTTCAGTCCCAGGCCAGGAGCATGCAGACTGGCAGTGCCAGGAGGGTTTGTTCTTCTATTATGTTTTGGTCTGATGCCTGTATGTCAAGGAGCCAGGGGGTTGGCAAGGGAGAGGTGCTGTTAGCTTTTGGATGCCACTACCTTCACAAAGACATTGCCAAGGAAGAGGAGATTGGAAACTGAGTGGTAGCTGGCGAGGCTGCTGGTGTTAAAAGTGGGTTTTTCTAGGTTTGGCTAGACTGTTGCATTCTTTAGGGTGTCTGGTAATTTGCTGTCTTAACCATGGAGGAAGGGTAATGTCACTTGCCAAACAAAAGAACATTAAGAGCACTTGCTGGAATTCTTTACAATACATTCCTAAAAACACACTGAATGCTTTGATAGCATAATACAGTATTAAGATGGTGTAGCTTGTGGTAAAAGTGGTATGTAGCTTTTGTAGCAAGATCCAGGGATATCCTCCTCTAAGTTTTATTTTTCAATAACTTTCATCTGGTATATTTCTAAGGAATGAAACGTGCTTTTCTGAGAGCTGGGTTGTAAAGGTCACTTCTCCACAGGGATTGTTAAGTAGGTTCCAGACAGATAGATGAGCTGAGCTGAACTGAACTGAACTGAACAGAGAGAGGCAAAGAGTCTGAACACTGCTGTTGTCTGCCTCAGTCATTAAGTTCCTGGAATCTGAAAGTTATGTTATGCTAGCACAGTGCTAACTATTAAAAGTTTACGTGGTTTCAAAGAGAGAATGGACATGTTCATGGATCCATTGAGGGTGACTAAACAGATAGGGGCACACCTGGATTAATAAGTTCTAAAACTGAAAATACTTGGAGCTTTGGACACAATCAGTCAAAAAAGAAACAAACAAACAAACAAACAAATACTTCAGGCCTGCCCTGATTCTTCTATTCTCCTGGGCATCTGCTCAGGACTACTGCTGAAGGCAGGCTGTTGAAGGAGACCTAGTGTGGCAGTTTCAGTGTAATACTGTGTTATTTGTTCCCTGTAAGTCCCATAGGTCTTTTATATAGCTTAAGAAAATCTAAAAAATGAGCCTTCCTTAACAAGTGTGTCTCAAAATACCTGCAAAGGTGTGCGAACATATGTACTGAAGACAGGGAGTGATCTTTGAGTAAGTACATCTGTTAGGCATAAGAAAATTATGAGGGTGAGTAAAAAGAGAAAAACATCCAGAACTACTAGTAAGCTAATGATATTGACACGAGCCATAAAAATTTGGTCTCCAGTGATACAGTTCTTACTAGCCAGTTCTTCTAGTAGAGGATTTTCTGGGTTTTGTTCTGCTTTATTTTTCTTTCCCTTACTTACCGCCTGTTGGCCACAACTGCTTGATGTCAATAAGGTTACTTGCTACCTACTATTGATGTGAGGTTGCTGCTTGGCAGACTTGGTTTATTTATACACCAGCATTAAAACTGCTGTGTCCAGTTGTTGCCATGTTGCTGAAATCTTTGAACACAGCCTTTTAAAGCTGCTAAAATAAGAGTATGAAATAGCAATACTGGTAGAGTAAAATGTTATCTTGATATGACAATAAGACAGACAGTTGAATACAATTTGAGGAATCAAGAGAACTGGAAACCTGAGGGAGTGGATACCTGATCCTACTGGTGCTTCATGTCCTTCATCTTTTGTCTTCCGGATGGAGCTGGGAGGAGAATAGTCGCTTCTTGTACGGGTCGCTTCAAGATTTCAGAGCTATTCTTGTCCAGCATTGGGGAATATGAAAGATAACTTTTCAGAAGGTGCAAAGGAAAGCTAACCATCCTGACAGAGATAGTTATGAACCTCATTGGCGAGGGAAGACAAGTGTGTTTAGATTTTTGCTTTTATCCAAGCAGTTGAGTTCAGAGGTTAGTAGAGCTATGTTTCCTAGCAAGTGGGACCTGTTGGGTTTTTTTCCTGATAGAATTTACTCCACTTTAGCTGGTCCAAGGAATATTTTCATATAAATTTTGCAGACTCTGTAACGTTAGTCAGGGCTGAATGAGGAGTGCAGATGACTCACGTTTGAGCCTGTGTGCTGATGAATATTACATTATTTATATGGGGTGACACAGTTTTAGACAGAGAGATTGAGAAACTGTCTCTCTGCCTTTCATTCCTCCCCAATGTTTCCCTTCTTCTTTCCTCCACAGTAACCCATGATATGTTGTCAGAGAATTCATCTAGTGATAAGATACTTAGTCTGAATGAGGCATACATATGTGAATCCCCAGCTGCAGTCTCACTATTCTGGAATTGGTTTTCCCCTTCTATTTTCACCAGAAGTTTTATTCTGGGAACAGTTTCCAAAGAAGACCTGAGTAAAATCACTATCTTTTTTTTTTTTTTTTCTAATTAAAGAAGGTGTTGCCAAAAGGCTTGCAACCAGCCTCACCTATCTCTCAATATGCAAATCTCTCTTGCA